AAAGACACACTCATTGGAAAATTGGTAAGAATTACCATCGACTCCTCATTAGACTCAATGTAAGCCAGAAGACAAAAAAACATTTTATTTTTTAGTTGAACATGGACCCAATACCTTGTTTTACTTATTTTTAATTTTTTTTTTTTAATGTGGTACTGAGGATTGAACCCAGTGCCTCACATGTGCAAGGAAAGTGCTCTACCACTGAGCCACAACCCCAGGCCCCTCAGAAGAGCATTTTTTAACTGTTGAAAGAGGAAAAAAAAAAAAAAAATCAAGCTTGAATTTAAATGAATTAATTGGGAATTAAATGATTTCAAATTAAAACGAGATAAAATTGAAGGTGAATAGATTCAATTTTAGATGAAAGCATAAAGAATGAGTTACTAGGGGCTGGGGTTGTGGCTCAGTGGCAGAACACTTGCCTTGCACATGTGGGGCACTGGGTTCGATCCTCAGCACCACATAAAAATAAATAAACAAAATAAAGATATTTTTAAAAAAGAATGAGTTACTAGCAAACTTATAAGAAATGCCAAAGAAAGTGCTTAGTTGAGAGAAAATAATAAGTTGGTAACTAATATCCACACAAATGGACAAAGACCACTGGAATATATGTAAATATAAGACTTCCCCCTTCTTATCAGTGTCTTCAATGAGTTTTATTCTTTCCTGTGCTCTTGTGATTGTCTTGCTTCCTCTTTTGTGTGTAGGAATCCTTTAAATATTATCTATAATGCTGGTTTAGTAGTCATGAATTCCTTTACTTTATGCTTATCTTGGAAAGTATTTCTTCTTCACTTCTGAATGATAGTAAGTTTGCTAAATAGAGTATTTTCTTTCCATACCCTCTTGGCCTTTGGAGTTTTTGCTGAGAAATCTTCAGTTATTTTAATGGGCTTACCTTTATAAGTGACTTTCTATTGCAGTTTTCAGTGTTCTTTCTTCTGTACTTTTAACAATTTAACTATAATATAATGTGGAGAGATTATTTTTTTGGTCAGGTCTATTTGTAATTCTAAATGCCTTCTGTATCTGGGTGTCCATGTCTTTCCCAAGTTTTGAGTCATTTTCTACTTTTATTTTTTCACTGAATAATCTACACCTCTGCTCCTTTGTCTATGACTTTGATTTATGTTTGATCCTTTAATTGTGTCACATAGATCTTGCATGTTCTGTTCACTCTTTTTTCTTTTTTAAATATTTATTTTTTAGTTTTAGGTGGATGGAATATCTTTATTTTACATGTATGTGGTGCTGAGGATTGAACCCAGTGCTCAAGCATACTAGGCAAGCTCTCTACCACTGAACCGCAACCCCAACCCCCACTTTTTTTTCTTTATTGCTTCTGAATGTGATAATTTATCAACCTTGTCGTCAAGTCTTGATAATATTCTTTCTTTTTCTTCATCTACTCTCTTGGTGAGACTTTCAACTGAGTTTTAAATTTGACTTTTGAGTTTTTCATTTCCAGTTTTTTTTCCAGGATATCTTTTTTTTTTTTTAAGGTGTGGGGCTTGATTCCCCCAGCTCCACTGAGAAGGATGAAGACAAAAAACAGTAACATTTACAACATAAAAACAAATAAGATATACGAATACAGTAACACTCAATTAACAATTATAACTAATAGAAAGGAAAGGGGCAAGACAGGTGTAGTGTTTGCCTGTAATCTCAGCTGTTTGGGAGACTGAGACTAAAGGATCTCAAATTCAAGGCCAAACTGGGCAGTTTAGTGAGAACCTATCTTAAAAATAAAAAGAGCTGGGGCTTTAGCTCAGTGGTAGAACACCTCTGTACCAAAAAAAAAAAAAAAAAGAAAAGAAAAGAAAGAATAAACCAAAAAAGTTGAAAATCTTTAAAAGATTGTTTAAAGCAAAAATAATAGTAGTATATTTGTAAGGCTTATTGTATATAGAAATTAAACACAACAGCAATAGCAGAAAGGATGGGGATATAATTAAAAGGCCTTTACATTGTATGTGAAGTAGTATAATATTAATCCATGATAGATTGTGAAAAGTTCAGGAAAACATGATAATCAATAGATGAACCACTAAAAAAAAAAAAAGAAGGTATAACTAAAAAAAGTCAATTATGGAAATGAATATATAAATATATAATTCAAAAGAAGAAAGAAACAACAGCATTGGGGGAAATTAAGACTAGATTTAAAATCTTTTCTAGAAAAATCTATATGGTAACCAATAAAGAGGTGAATCGAGAAATAGGGGCTATAGTCGTAGCTCAGTGGTAAAATGCTTGCTTAGCATGTGTGAGGCACTGGGTTTGATCCTCAGCACTACATAAAAATAAATCAATAAAATAAAGGTATAAAAAATATAATAACATTAAAAAAATTCAAAAATGGAGACACTCATATGAAGAAACTAATGATGAGCAGAATCCATTTAGAATGACCATTGGGCTAATGAATAGAATGTAAATGACATATACCTTTATGGCATGAAAACATAATTGTTGAAACTGGGGGTGTAGTTCAGGTGATAGGGTTCTTACTTAGCAAGCATGAGGCCCAAGTTCTCCAGGATTACAAGACTGGAGCCCAGGCTGTGGGCTAAACTATCTCCTTGAGTTGAAATAATATAACCTATAGAGAGGTATAAGAGAGGAGAGATGAAAGTTTACCTGCCGGTATCCTTGTTTTTTATAGTTAAAATTTGCTCTATTTCATTCCCCTACAGTCTGTTTTTCTTCTAATAAATAAACGAATAAATAAATAAATTTTTATTTACAAGCAGTATATATGATCCAATTTTTTAAAGTACTTTTCTATTTGGTATCCATTCTGACAGCCAGCATTTAATCTATAAACACATGCAACAAAGATCGCTAGAATGGTGCTGACTTGATTATTATTTATAGATGATGGATTGAAATCATTAAAGAATAATATTAAAATGTTTATATTTCAGAATGAGGACAGTACATGGGGATTTCAAATTTTGCCTTAAAAAAAAAGTAACTAAAAAAAAGTGAGCCCTTTCACTATCTCTGCCTAGATAAATTACTTTGGGGCAGTTTCTCAATTGCTTTCAGGATTAAATTCAGGGTCCTGAGCGTGACCAGTCAGACCCTGCATGATCTGGACCCTTTCGTCTCTTCAGTTTCCTTCAGTTTCCTCCTTCAATGGTTTCTGGGTTCAGTCCACAGTAGCTTCTGTTCCCCCTGCCTGGAAAATCCCTCACCCATATTTTCTTTTTCCCTTTTTCATTGTATCACTGCTTAAATGTTACTTCTTTCAGGGAACTTTCCTTGACTTCATGCCCGGGCTAGATCAAGACCCTAAATATATCCTTATTCTCCCTGTACTTCTCTGTGCCTTTTTCACACTTAGAATCATACATTTATTTGTGTGGTTGTTTAATATGTCTCATTAGACCATAGACCAAGATTCTCAAGGGCAGGGCAATGTCTGTTCCCCAGGATCTAATGCAATAGTGGCAAATAAAAGACGTCAGTATGTACTCAGCCCTCAGTATTCTGGGGGATATTGGTTCCAGGACTTCTGCAGATACTAAAATCCTAGAATTCTCAAGTCCCTTATATAAAAATGACACCATGGGGTTGGGGTTGTGGCTCAGAGGTAGAGTGTTCGCCTAGCATGTGTGAGGCCCTGAGTTCGATCCTCAGCACCACGTAAAGTAAAATAAAGACATTGTGTCCACCTATAACTAAAAAATAATTATTTAAAAAAAAATGACACCATTTTTGCATATGACCTCTGTAATCTTCCTGTATACTTTTCCTTGAAAAAAATTTAATGTGCTTTTATGAATCACTTGAGCATTTTTTTAATATTTTTTAATTGATGCATTTATAGTTGCACATAATAGTGGAATTTCTTATGTATTCGTACATGTACACAATATAACAATATAATTGGTCAGTATCATTCCCCAGTATTTCCCCTTTTCTTTTCCCTCCTCCCTCCCTCCCTTTCCTCTACCCTAACTGATCTTCATGAGATTGCATCACACTTTTTCCTTTTTCTTCAGTATTCTAAAATCACCTTTAGATTACTTATAATACCTAATGCAATGTAAATCATAATGGAAGTAGTTGTTATTACTGTATATTCTAGGATTAAAGACAAAAAATGTCTATATTTATGCAGACAATTTTTTTTTTTTCACCACTGAGCTATATTCCCTTTTTATTTTTTGAGAAAGTTCTCACTGGGGGTGCCTCTCAGGTTGCTGAGGCTAACCTCAAACTTGCAGTCCTCCTGCCTCAGCCTCCTGAGTCTCTGGGATTACAGGTGTATACCATCATGCTCTTTTCTGAATTTTTCTTTGTGTGTGTGTGTATACCTGGGATTAAATTCAGGGGAACTTATCCACTGAGTCACATCTCCATCCCTTTTTTGTATTTTATTTAGAGACAGAGTCTCACTGAGTTGCTTAGGACTTTGCTAAGTTGCTGAAGTTGTATATTCTGAATATTTTTGACCCAAGTTAATTAAGTGTACAGATGTAAAAGCCACAGATTGAGAGGGTCAACTGTATATTTAAATGTATGAACCTTTAATTGTTTATAAAACACTACGTTCTTACTATAACTCCGTGAGGTGGATATTTTTTGTTTCCAATTTTGACCTCCTTTACCTGTTTGGGCTTCCTCATAAGACAGCATTTGAACAAAAGATTACATGGCTAGGGCTGGGGATATGGCTCAAGCGGTAGCGCGCTCGCCTGCCATGCGTGCGACCCGGGTTCGATCCTCAGCACCACATACAAAGATGTTGTGTCCGCCGAGAACTAAACAATAAATATTAAAAAAAAAAAAAAAAAGATTACATGGCTAAAGAAGCTGAAGGGTCTGTGCTCCATGCCAGGCTACTTTTCTTTCATATTGCCTTAGCTGAGAGGATATGGACTTGCTTTCTTACTTTGAATTGCTCGCTAACTTTGAGCTGAGACAAATAGGTTCTGCCCTGACTTGGGTTTACTTTTTTCCTTTTCTTTCTGTCATTGCAGGTGGATTAGCTCAGGACCTGAAAGCTGCCTCGAGCTGCTTTTTGATGGCATGTGAGAAGCCTGGAAAGAAGTCTGTGGAAGCATGTCACAATGTCGGTCTCCTGGCACATGATGGCCAGGTCAATGAAGATGGCCAGCCCGACCTGGGGAAGGCCAGGGACTACTACACAAGGGCCTGTAATGGCAACTATGCCTCCAGTTGCTTCAACCTTAGTGCCATGTTTCTGCAGGGTGCCCCTGGCGTTCCCAAGGATATGGGCCTGGCATGTGAATACTCAATGAAAGCCTGTGACCTGGGCCATGTTTGGGCCTGTGCCAATGCTAGCCGCATGTATAAAATGGGGGATGGTGTTGATAAGGATGAGGCCAAGGCAGAGATGCTAAAAAATCGGGCCCAACAGCTGCACAAAGAGCAGCAGAAAAGTGTGCAGCCCTTAACATTTGGGTAATGTGGCCAATGTTAAGGGCTGCACAAGCATCAAGCAGCTTGAGGCTGGCACCTTCTATTTCTGAGACCTGATGCAGCCCTTAAAGGTCAACCTGCTGGAGCAGGAGAACTTGGGACTTAATATCAGTAGCTCTGGTTACATAAATCCATTTGCTCCTGAGTGTCACCTACTGGGATGTGGCCTGCAGTGAGTGTGTTCTGTCAGTTATCTTTTATGTGGCTGTGTTCTGTGAACACTCCCACATTTATGGGGTCTTTTCAAACTTTTGGAGCTCTGTGAAAAATAGGAGCCAACAGGGCTGGGGATGTGGCTCAAGCAGTAGCGCGCTCGCCTGGCATGCATGCGGCCCGGGTTCAATCCTCAGCACCACATACCAACAAAGATGTTGTGTCCGCCGAGAACTAAAAAATAAATATTTAAAAAAAAAAAATAGGAGCCAACTAGAGAGCCATAAAGATTTGTGTGAGGGATTGGAGGACAGAATTACCAGGATGTCAAAAATCAGCAGCCAGAGGGCCTGAAGGAATCAGCTGCTATCATCATCATCATCCTCATCATGCTCATTTTAGTTGGGGGGGGGCCTTGAAAATCAGTGTCTTGCTTTACATAATAGAGGTCTTAAGGAGCTAAGAAAAGTTAAACAGTCACGACTGCCACCCTCTGACTTATGTAATCGTTGGTGTGGGCTTTTTGCTTTCAGATTCAGATCTTTCAAGAAGTTAATATAGATTAGGAAAGCCATGCAGCATGAAGGTTAAAGGCTCATGTTGCTAACGATAAAACGGAACCCTGCCTTCCCCTAGAAGAAACATTCACAGTTAAAACCTCCCCGGACACTCACCTCATGGAACTTATGCAGAGGACATTCCCAGAGCAATTCCAGCTAGTAATTCGCAAACAAAGACTTTGTGACATATTTTGCCTACTGATACTGAGCCTTTTTCACTGTTCCTGTGAATAAACTATTTTGATTGATTTGTACTTTGTGTTATTAGTGTTCTTTCTGGATTCCAGGTAGGGTTGAGTATGTTTTTCATGGGATTGTGCCTTTTAAGAACATGTGCTTTTTCTATTATCTCTCTAGCTTGTCACCAGGGGGCGAGCTTGTCATTTTCCTGCTGATTTTAGGATCATTATATGTCACCACCTACTGTTTTTGGCTTTCAGTTTTGCAGCTGTAAGCATAACCACCAAACTTCTCGAGCTGGTAGAAGAGAGGGACTTTCTCAAGTTTTAAAAGGCATCAAGTTCATTTTTTTTAAGTAGCTTTTCCTATGCTTAAAATAAACTCTAGGCCAACAAGCATGTGAAAAGATGCTCAACATTACTAATTGTGGGAACTGCAAGTAAAAACCACAATGAAATCTTAAAACTCATCTGTTAAAAAATTTTATTAAAAAATGGGCCAAAGACCTTAATAGACAGTTCACCAAAGAAGATATGCAAATGGAAAATAGGCATATGGAAAGATGTTCCATGTAACATGTCATCAGGAAAATGCAAATCAAAACAAACAGTGAAGCCAGGTGGAGTGGCACACACCTGTAATCCCAGTGACTAAGTAGGAGGATTAAGTTGCCAGCCTCAGCAATTTAATGAGAACTTGTCTCAAAAAATTAAAAAGAGCTGTGGCTCAGTGGTAAAAGTGCTCCTGGGTTCAATTCCCAGTACCTCCAAAATAAATGAAATTGTTGTACCATTATTTGGATGGCCAAAATCCAGAACACTGATACCACCAGATGCTGGTTGTGAAATGGAGCAACAGGAACTTTCATTCATTGCTATTAGGAATGCAAGATGATAACAGCCACTATGTATGATTCTCATCAAACCAAACATACAATGTGTTAGCAGTGTCACTCAGTATTTACCTAAAGGAATTGAAAACCTGTTCAAACAAAAGCCAGTATGTTAATGTCTAGCATTCTATTATGGTTTGGATATGAAATGTCTCTCAAAGTTTCATATGTTGAAGGCTTGATCGACAATGCAACAATGTTAAGAGGAAAGGCTTTGGGAAGTGAGGGGATCCTGAGAGTTCTGCTGTCATTAATGGATTAATCCATTGGTGAGTTCATAATTGAATGGACTACTGGGAGGTGGTAGAAATTGTAAGGGGATCTAATTGGAGGAAGGAAGTCACTGACAGTCATATTTTGAAAGGGTGTATCTTACTCCTGGCCCTTTCCTCTCTGCTCCTGGCTGCCATGAGGTGGTCAGCTTTCCTTCACCATGCCCTTCCACCATGATGTTGTTCTGCCTTGCCTTACCCCAGGTGATAGACCAGATGACCATGAACTGAAACCATGAGCCAAAATAAACCTTTCCTTCATTTAGTTGAATTTCCTCAGGTATTTTACTGCAGTGATGGAAAACTTAACATAATTGCCAAAACTTGGAAGCAACTAAAATGTCCTTCAGTGGAAGAAAGGATAAGCCATGCAATAGAATAGTATTTAATGATAAAAAGAAATGAGTTAGGGCTGGGATTGTGGCTCAGCAGTAGATTGCTCGTCTAGATCCTCAGCACCACATAAAAATAAATAAACAAAGGCATTATGTCCAACTATTTCTAAAAAATAAATATTAAAAAAAATGAGTTAGCAAGCCACAATATATATATATATGTATTACTAAATGAAAGAACAACCCCCCAAAGTTCCTTTCTATATGCTCTCTACTGTGTGACCCTGGTTATCCATTCTCGAAAAGCAAAACTAGAGGCAAACAGATCCAGGGGTCAGGGACTGGGAATATGGTTTAGTGTTAGGACATTTGCCTAGCATGCCTGAGTGCCTGAGTTCAATCCCCAGCACTAGGGGTGGGGAGATCAGAGGTTAGATGAGAGAAAGGGATGAATAATTGGAGCACAAGACTTTTAGAGTAGTGAAACTACTGTATATGATACTATAACGGTAGATATACATCATAATATGTTTGTCCAAATTCCTAAAATGTATAACACCATGAATAAACCCTAATGGAAATTAAGGACTTTGTGTGGCAGTGATATGTTGGTATAGGCTCATCAATTACAAAAAAAATGTTCCATTCTGGGGCTGGGGTGGTGGCTCAGTGGTAGAGCATGTATGAGGCACCGGGTTTGATCCTCAGAATCACACAAATGTAAAATAAAGATATTGTGTCCACCTAAAACTAAAAAATATTTTTTAAAAAACAGTTCCATTCTGGGAGCTGGTGTTGTGGTTCAGTGGTAGAGCGCTTGCCTAGCATGTGTGAGGTACTGGTTCGAGTCTCAGCACCACATATAAATAAATAAAATAATGGTCCTTCAACAATTAAAAAAGTATTTTTAAAAAATGTTCCATTCTTGGGCTGGGGATGTGGCTCAAGCGGTAGCTCGCTCGCCTGGCATGCGTGCGGCCCGGGTTCGATCCTCAGCACCACATACCAACAAAGATGTTGTGTCTGCTGAGAACTAAAAAATAAATATTAAAAATTCTCTCTCTCTGGGGCTGGGGATGTGTCTCAAGTGGTAGCTTGTTCGCCTGGCATGCGTGCGGCCAGGGTTCGATCCTCAGCACCACATACAAAGATGTTGTGTCCACTGTGAACTGAAAAATAAATATTAATAAAATTCTCTCTCTCTCTCTCTCTCTCTCTCTCTCTCTCTCTCTTTCTCCTCTCTTAAAAAAAATGTTCCATTCTGGCGGGAGATATTGATTATGAGAAGGCTATTAATTTGTAGAGGCAGATTTTCCATATGTGGGCAATCACTGCCTTCTCAATTTTGCTGTGAACCTAAAATTGCTGTTAAAAATCTATTCAAAATGAGATTGCTGGGGCTGGGGTTGAGACCTGGGTTCGATCCTCAGCACCAGATTAAAAAAAATAAATAAACAAAATAAAGATATTTTAAGAAATGAGATTGCTTCATACCATTAGGATGGCTATCATTAAAATAAGAGTTGTCAAAGATATGCACTGTTGATGGGAATGTAGAATAGTGCAGCTGTTGTGAAAAGCAATGGAGTGAGTGCTTCTGAAAAATATTAGAATTGCTATATGATCCAGTTATTCCATTTGTGGGTACACATCCAAAGGAATTGAAAGCTGAGTCTTCAAAATGCATTTTTACACCCATGTTTTTAGCAGCGTTATACACAATAGCCAAAAGGTGGAAGCAACTCAAATGTCCATCAATAGATTAATGAATGAATATGATGGAATATTCTACAGCCATAAAAGGAAGGGAAATTCTGAGACATAGTTCAACATGAATGAGCCTTGAGGACATTAGGCTAAGTGAAATAGCCCATCCACAAAAATCCAAATGCTGCATATGAAGTATCTAAACTTGTATGTGTCATGTGAACACACAGTAGAATGGACTGGGAGAAGGTGGGTACAGAGAGTCGTTAAATGAGCGTGGAGTTTCAAATTCATAAGATGAAAAAGTTCTGGAGATTGGTTGTGCAACAATGTGAATATAATTAAAACTACGGAGCTGTACATTTAACATTGGTTAAGATTAGTAAATTTTATGTGTACTTTATCATAATTATTAAAACTATGAGCTTTAAAAATGCAAAGTTTACAGTTTTTGCTTATAAAGTATTATAATCTTGCTGAGCACGTGTTGGCACACACCTATAATCCCAGTGACTCTGGAGGCTGAGGCAGGAGGATCACAAATTTAAAGCCAGCCTCAATAATTTAGCACACGGGGGCTGGGGATGTGGCTCAAGCGGTAGCACGCTCGCCTAGCATGCGTGCGGCCCGGGTTCGATCCTCAGCAGCACCACATACCAACAAAGATGTTGTGTCCGCCGAGAACTAAGAATAAATAAATAAATGTTAAAATTCTCTCTCTCTCTCTCTCTCTCTCTCTCTCTCTCTCTCTCTCTCTCTCTCTCCCCCCCTCTCTCTGTCCCCCCCCCTCTCTCATTCTCTCTAAAAAAAAAAAAAAATAATTTAGCACAACCCTAAGCAACTTAAGCAAGATCCTGTCTCAAAATTAAAAATAAATAAATAAAAAGGGTTGGCGATTTGACTCAGTGATTAAGTGCCCCTGGGTTCAATCCCCAGCACTAAAAATAATTTAAAAATAAATAAAATAGTGTGCACTCATGAAACACAATTTGGAATATGGCATAAGAAACCATTATCCCTCATTTCCCCACCTATAGGCATTCTTTGACAAAACAATGTTAATTTTTTAAAAATACTCAAAGCTTTTCAATTAAATTATGGGTTTATGGTTTTGAAGAATTAGTTTACATGATTGTTGGGTGGCAGATGTGCTGAATCATTTTTTTAATGGGCTAGTACCTGCCTGGGACATTTAGTACCTGGCTTCTGAGTCACATACTGAGATGAGCTGAAAACAGTAGAGTGAGCATTAGGCGTCAAAATGTTATGTTTCATGAAAATTACTCAAATGCAAAGAATAATTATTTACTGATCCGAGGGACCCAGGGGCCATTTCATACTTGTCTGCTGTAGGAGGCAATAGGTTGATAAGAGCCAGTTGGATGAGTTTCTTACTTTTGTGCAGCCTTTGAAACAAGGTTTAAAAACGGGTTTCAGACTCTGGTCACAGCAAGCAGTATCATTACTGTGCCTTCTGGCCAGCAGGCATTTGAATCATCATTAGTGGCTATTTCCTACATGTTCTCTCCATGCCAGGCTTGGGCTGCATACAGGAATGAAGAGAGGACCTGATGGTGTAATGGGGAACAAGATTCATATTTGACTAGTGATTTATGTTCTTAAAATCTGATAGTACAGTGCTCAATGAAAGAGGGAAACAAGAGCCCCTCTCCTCCTCTCTAGGGACTCTTGTTCCCTAGAGGTTTAGGCTTTATCTTGTGGGTGATTCAGAGTTTTGAGCAGAATGGAAATCAGAAAAATCATCCCGGTGCACGAAATGGATTGAAAGAGGAACAACTAGAGAGAGGCAGGAAGGCTGCTACAAAAGGTCAAGGTGAGACATGTTGGGCCCAAGCCAAGGAGTGTCA